TGGGTTGGCCGCGGGACCTTTTATTTGTAGACGGAATGTCATTGATGTAAAAGGGTTAAACCCTTTCTTTTAATTTAAAAGATGTAAGCCTACGAACATTGTATTTATTTTTAACTCATGTTGCATTCACTTTTTATTCGAATGAGAGAACCTTTAATAATAGTACGCGTTAATGTATTGAATTTCTACGCATAATCTCTGAAATTGTGTTGTAATAAAGCATTTGGTAATGGTAGCCGTTGGCATAAAAAGTGAGGCGTGACATTTTCATTTCTTAATCCAGTTTTTTATAATCAAACGGAGCCTAAGGTTTGAAATTTTAATTTTTTTTAATGAAAAATGATTGAGACTTACAATTTAACACCCACGTGACTGTTTGGTTTAATTTTTTAAAAATTATTTTTAGATGAGTTTTTGTTGACTTTTAGTGAATTATTTTATGTTTTAATCAAATTTTTTTTTGGGGGTTACTTTTAAAAACAATTACTACAAACAAATCAAACTTTGTGTGCATTTCCAATAGCCCATGTATGTGTGTGTGGTAATGTGACCCAAACTAGCAACTGGGAATTAAGGCCGCTTCAAATTTTCAAAGATGGCCAATTTCCATTAGGCCGGACATTGGACTAGGCCATCCTGAGCCCACTCCCAAGCCTTGTTTCTTTTCAAATTGATAAATTGGGCTGCAGCTGCATTCAAAACTGGAACCCAGATATAGAGCCCTATTGTTTACATAACAAAATAACTAGTTGGCTAGTTATCCATGCATCCACTAATTAATTTAGGTACACAACCAAAATAATAATAATATTAATTAGTTTAAAATGATATAAATAAATGAATTTTTCAATCAAATTTTCTTACTACTAAACACAAATAATAGGCTCTGCTTTGTATTCATTAATGTGAGTTTCACTACATTTGTGTCTACTAATAAAAAAAATTGATAAGAAATTTGTTTATGTATAACATTACCATTTAGATAATGTGGGGTGTATAAGCATAGTCATATTACCTTTCTCAACACTTCTTAAAATGGAATCAATACACCTAATCCTCAAATAATTTGAGCTAATATAAATCTCCTATGATGTTATTAGACTTGATTACTTTTGTAACGCCCTGAAATTTTCTCACAAGCATATGCCAAGACAATACAAGAATATACCCAAAAAGTTATCTTTCTCATTGAACTAAGAGTTAAGAGATTATAATTCACCACGTACATTCCCACAATATTCGGAATTCATATTCCAATTCAATGAACTGGATGGCCTTACAAAATATAAGCTCTATGGCATACACAAAAAACAACAACAACAAAATAAAGTTGATGGTATTGTTACAAAAATCCCAATTCAAAAGAACAAAACACCTATGAATCAACTTTTCCAAAAAGAGCTATTGCTTGTCTAATTCTTCAGAGAGGTAGTACTTCGTCAATTCCTGAAAAGCAAAATAGGGTTGAGCTATATGCCCAGTAGGAATACATTTAACCAAGTATTTAATCTTTTGAATAAGATTATGATATCCTTGCGACAAAACATTACAAGGAGATTTATCTTCACATGCAATCTTTAACAATCATTTAGATACATGATAACCAAACAGAGGCAATTACAATTCATATCATCAAGTACAATGATTAAACAATCATAAACATAGAAAGCACACCATGAGTCCATCTATAAGAGTCCAATTGAAAACACCCTTTGCTTTTGTTTAAAAAACTGCCCCCACATTTGCCGGCTATTATATGACAGGGAGTGGGCACCCCAAAGAAAACCATCCATTTTTCTACTTTTGCCTACTATTATACGGCAGGACAGTATGGACACCCAAAAATATTTTTCCCACATTCATCCATTGATAAGCCTAGATAGGGCATTTGAGCACCTTTATAACTCCCTGTGTGGGTACCAACACAACACCACATTTGTAAAATCGACTCTTACCCGGACTCTTGTACAATTAACAATTCATTCACATTTCATTCCATCAACAAACATCCAACATTACCAAAGGACTGAATATAACACAAGATTTAAGGAAAAATAACATCCAAGCCACAATTCCTTTACTATATCAATATCCACATCTTTCATTTATTTATTATTCACAATATTTCATGAATCAAAGGAAATTCCCTTCAATGTGGTGTTTTCAACTCAAATTGAGAATCTAGGGTTTTACCAAATTTGGGGGTTTTTCTCTTTCATCATAGATATGGGTTCTAACACATTTACATACAAGTTTTGAAAAAAAAGAGTAAAGAAATTTCAAGCAAGAATCAAGTAAAATGGTTTATTTATGTAAAATATGGGATTAATCCAACAATACCCCCCAATTGACTCATAAGTCACAACCACACTATGAAATCTCTTTAAAACAAAGAAATACTAGGGTAAAAGTGTCCCTACCTCAAGTTGTGAAGAAGAAAACTCGGAAAACCCAAGGTCGACGAAACCACAAACTTTTTGGATCAATAGAAAGCCCTTGCCATGATCTACACTCTTCCTGAAAAGACCCAGGTGAAAAGATACTTCTAGGGAAGTAGATCTAAAGATCCAAGCAGGAAAAGTTGAACTTAGAGAGGAAAAAGAGAGACCCATGGCTTGGGAGGAGAAATGAGAGGAAAAATAATGAGAGAGAGGTGGTTTGGGTCTATTTATAGTAGTAGAAAATAGCCCCAAGGTCAATGAAAAGAATAAGTCTAAAACCCCCAAAGGTAGGGCCTATTCGAACCCAAAATTCTGGAAAAACAAACACACATGGGTCGACCCCAAGTGTGGTGGTGTCGACCCTTCAGCAAGAAAAGACAATTCTGACAGCAAGCATGGTGTCGAAACCTTCCAGACTAGTGTTAACACTAAATTCCATCAAGCAAACCCCAGATTCTGCAATATACAAGGGTTGACCCTTCCCAAACTGGTGTCGACCCTCGTGGATAGCAACAAGAGACAGGTGTCGACACCACCAAGGCTGGTGTGGACCCTAAATTCCGGCAACACTTCCATAAATTTCCTCAATAGGTAAGGGTCGACCCTTAGAAAGGTGGTGTTGACCCCAGAACAGAATTTCTAAATTCCTACGGAACTTTTTGACAAGAACAAAAGCGAACAAACAAACCCCACAAGTCTAAATCGAATTATACTCCTCCAAATTCAAAATACAACAACTCCAAAGACTACAAAGATTCCCAAAAAGAAAATAAAGTGATTAAATATACATTCCAATAGATTAAAACATCCAAATGTTATAACTTTCATTTCTTTAAGTTGTTTACTTGTATAACCTTTAAATAAATCCTTTTTGTTTCGTGTTAATTAATCATATTCATTTAACTATCCTTTTTTGATCAGTAAAAGAATAGAACTTTATTGATGAATCAGAAAACAATTACATCAATAAAAGAAAAAGAAGGATGAGTGCAAAAGCATCATAACAGACCAAATCAATCCCTACTAGGTTGGCACCGATAAGATTGCCTAATCATATGCTAGCACACCATCAAGAGTGGGTAAGGAACCAACCCGAACCACCAAAACCAACCACACCCAAGTAAAACTAACAAAACTAATACAGACGTGCACCTAAACTACCAACCATCAAAAAATAGTACAACAACAAAGAACACTAGCTGCAGTAGCTAACTACAAAAGATCACTAATATGGTGTCATAGCACCAGCAGACCAACAGCAAACCATAGCATCAGCACCATTCCATAGCATCAGCAGCCACCATAGAGTAGATACTCATTTTCACCCATTGTAAGTAGCTGCTGATGCACCTACTAACCCAGACACCTTCTAATTTAGTACATACACAATCAAACAGAAACTAGCCAACTACAGAAGCCACCAGAACCAATAAACACCAGCAAAACAAGTAGGACAGCAACAATCAGCCAAGCCAATAGCCCAACCACCATACATCACCTCTAATCACTACTCCACCTGAGTCCAACCCCTAACATATACTCCTTTTCACCTGCTAAAAATTTTGCACAATATCATTGACAGAATAAATGCAATCAATAGCCACAGCTTTCAACCAAATTGCCATTCTTACTTTAATGAGCTCAGTAAGGGCCACGGTGTTTGCTTTGAGTACCCGAAAAAATACAATCATTCCTATACCTCCATACCGACCAAATCACAGCCACTGTAAAGTTCTCCAAATCTTCCTTTCTTCTTGAAGTTCCAGCCCATCCACTTTGCATCAAACCCTAGATAGACCCAAGTACAGCCCAGCACAGACCCCATCGATCCAAAATACTTGACTAGACTCTCCACACTACTGGACACCAAATGAGGATATGATTTAATGACTCTGGTTCAGATTTACGTAACACACAAGACATATCAACATTCCCTCTTAGCACTCTAATCTTATGCAAAAAGTCCAAAGTTTTCAACTTTCCTTTCCAAGCTAACCATGTTATAAACTTAGCTTTGGAAGGGAAAAAATTATGCCAAATCAAAAATACTAACCCTATGTTGGGACCAAAAGACAATTTAGCACTTTTATAAACGAAACTTACCTTAAACACCCCAGATTGATCTGCTTTCTATCTTGGAGTGTCCACCAGGTTCATAATCAACCTTGGCCCTTCACCTAACAAATTCTGAAGTCTAACAAATTCTTCCCCCTCCCACGCATGCAAGGGTCTTCTGAAACTGAATGCCCACCTGCTCTGCCTATCATACCTTGAAAGTTTCCCATTCAATGATATATCATTTTTATTACATAACTGATACAGTCTAGGAAACTGTGACATTAGGCTTGAATCACCCCTCCACTTATCTTTCTAGAACCAGATTCTATAACCATTCCTAATCGAGATTTCCACATTCTCTTCAAAGAAGCTCTGTAACCTGGTATTAGACAGAACCACATTCAAGATATCCCTCAAGACAATAGAGGTGGTATCAGAAATATTAAATGATGGCATCTATCTCCCACCTACTGATCCATACTTGCTGCAAATAACATGCTTCTACAATGAATCATCCTCCAAAGCAAATCGCCACCACCATTTAACCAGTAAACTTTGATTTGCAAGCCTTATATCTCTGATCCCTACATCCCCTTGCTTCAAATTCATAATAATCTCCCTCCACTTAACCAAATGTATTTTTCTTTTTACCTCAGAATCCCCCCACAAAAAACTTGCTTGTAATCTATCTAACTCCTTGGCAACACACTCTGGAAGCTTAAACAGACACATGTAGTAAACAAGTAATGAAGACAAAATGGACTTGATGAGAACAAATTTGCCAATAAAAGATAACATTTTCCTTTTCCAGCCTGTCAGATTTCTCTTGAAATTATCAATAATAGGCTTCCAACACAGCCTCGTATGCGGGTTGGCTCCCAATGGGAGACCAAGATACTTCAAAGGAAGTTTCTGACTACAACAATTAAGCACAGTAGCAAAATCTGAGACCAACTCCTTATCCACCCCTATCCCACACATAACACTTTTATAGAAATTAAGCCTTAACCCATAAACCACTTCAAAACACCTCAATATTCTTTTTATCGCAATGATTTCAGACCATTCTGTTTCACAAAATATTACAGTATCATCCGCATATTGAAGGTGAGATACATTCAGCCCATTTGCTCCCACATTCACTCCCGTGAATATCCCTTTTTCCTTAGCTCTTGACAGTAGTAAATTTAATCCTTCAGCCACAATATTATATAAAAAAAGGAGAAAGTGGATCACCTTACCTCAATCCCCTCTGGGGACAAAACTCTTTAGAGGGTGATCTATTCACCAATACACTCTAGATGATGCCAAACACTCTTTTCACCCAACCCAACCATTTGGAAAGTAAATTACCGAATCGTAGGCTTTCTCAAATCAAGTTTTAAATTGATTCCCTTCTTTCTTGATTTCTTCCACCAATCCACTACCTCATTGGCAATTAGCACCCATCCAAAATATTCCTCCCTCCCAAGAAAGCCAATTGGACCTTATCAATCACAGTAGGCAACACACACTTGAATTTGCCTACTAAAACTTTGGACAATACCTTATATGAGGAATTCACCAGACTAATGGGCCTATAATCTGAAATAGAGCTAGGATTCTCTTTCTTAGGTATCAAGGTAATAAAGGAATAGTTCACTCCATACCCCAGCCTGCCATTACTATAAACTCCTTCATAAAGTTCATAATGTCCCCCATCATAAACCTGCACCCCTTTTGAAAAGATGACAAATTAAATCCATCTGGACTTAGGGTTTTATTCCCGTCACATTCTTTTATAGTTTTCTACACTTCTTCCTCTGAAAACTCATCTTTCAGACATTCCACTGCTTGTTTATGATCAATCTTCCTGAAATAACCCCTAATACTAGGCCTACTACTCCACTGCTTAGAAAAATTCTTCTTAAAATGATCAAAAATTGCTTGCATCACCTCTACTGGTTCAACAACATAAGCTCCACTGACCTTTATTGTATCAATCATATTCCTGTTATTTCTTCTGGATGCTATCACATGAAAGAACCTATAATTCTTATCACCTTTCAATGACTAATCTAGTCTCGATTTCTACAACCATATCCATTCTTTCCTCTTTCTGAGTTTCCAAACCATTTCAAAGACCTCCTTTCTTCTTAGAGATTTCTTGTCATTTAGAGTTCTGCTCTCAGCTAGTAGGTCAAGAGCATGTAACTTGTCTTCAACCTCATTATATTGAGACTCCACATTTCTGAACACTTCAACATTTCATTTTTTTAAAAGCCAGCTTCAATGCTCTTAGTTTTGCTAGGATAACATATCTAGCCCATCCCTGCACTTTTGTATTCTCCCAGGCTCTTCTAACTTCTTTGATAAAATCACTATGAAGGACCCAAGCATTTATGAATCTGAAAGGTTTAGGACCCCAGTGCTTTTCATCTTCCATTAGTAAAATAGGACTATGATCTGAAAGTAACCTAGGTAACCCCCGTAATGTAAATTTAAACCACTCCAACCACTCCGAATTCATCAAGAACCTATCAATCCGACTCCAGCTTTGAGAATTTCCCCATGTGTATTGTAATCCCAAATTATTGACAAAATTATCAAAATCAGACATGCCCCTATCCCTTCTAACACAACCCTTTCGTTCTCCCATTGATCTTATCTCATTAAAATCCCCACCTAAGCACCAAGGTTTAGGGAATGAACTTTTTAGAGAGCTCAACATACACCATAATTCCTCATACCCACCACTAGGGGTGTAAAAATGGCCCGAGGCCCGTGGGCGGCCCAAAACCCGAGGTGGGCCCAGCTCGTTTTGGCCCGGGCCCCGAGCCCAGCCCAGTACCTTGGGCCTGGGCCTTCCATTTTGTGTCTCGGCCTTGCCCGTTAGCCCGGCCAGGCCAAAAAAATTTCGGGCCCTGCGGGCAGCCCGGCCCAACCATTTATTTCTCTCTCTACCAATGATCAAATTTCAGAAAAAAAAAAAAAAAACAACTTACATAGTTAAATAATTAAATAAATTAAATAAATAAATAAAAATATAATCTTATAAAAAAAAAAATTAAATAAATAAAAAGATTATCTTATAAAAATAAAAAATAAATGATTAAATAAATAAAAAGATTGATCTTATAAAAAAAATAAAAAATTAAATAAAAATTAATATAATTAAATAAATAACATTAATAATTTAAAAATAAAACAAAAATTAATAATAATTTATTAATTAAAATCAAATTAATAATTATTTGATGGAAAATGATGATATGACGTATCACTGACAGTGGCAGTACATACAGCACAGTCTGTGTGTGTGGCTGGCCTTATTATTATTTTTTTTAATTTCTTACTTCATTGATTGTTTCATGGGAAAGTGCACCTTAGCTAACGTGAAAGAAAAAAAAAAAAAATATATATATATATATACTAAGTTGGAAGGTAATACTGGGCTTGTGGAGGCTCACCACGAGTCCATTTTGATAATCCGAACCGTTCAATGTATATAACTCTTTCATTTCATTTGGTTTTTTTCTTGGTTTTTGTTTTGTTCTTTTTTTTTTTTTTGTATTAGATTATTGAAGTGGAGTATAATGCAAATGATTGGTAGACTAGTAGGTGCCAACTAGTTGGGATGTACTTGACCTATAGTGATGCAATTACTATACCATCATGAGTAATCTACGACCTAATTTATTTAATGATATAAATTTTTGTAATATTTTATTTCATTTTGAAATAAAAATTATTCATTCAATAAATGTTATATAAATAATTTAATATTGTAATATTGAAAGTTTCAATTTCATATATATAAAATTATTCATTTCGAAAAAAAATACATAATTACATATTTTTTTAGTTATAAGTTCACAATTAAAAAAACATAAATCATATATAATTAAATTTAAATATCACCATAAAACATTACATAACCAAACAAAATATCTTATTAATCGTAATTAAAATACTTTAGTATAATTTTAAAATTTTTTTTTTCTAATATTAAAAAAAAAACTCGACTAGGCCCGGCCCGCGGGCCAAGGCCCGGCCCTATTATAAGTGGGCTTGGGCTCAGGCGTGGGCCTGGACCCCACATTTTAGCCCATAACTCGGCCCGCTAAAAAATCACAAGTCTACAAAACCCGAATGACCGGGCCAGACCGGGCCATTATTACACCCCTTGCCCACCACATTATTGGGAGCGTAAACATTCCCAATAACACTCAATACGAAGATGTATATTACTTTGTAATAAAATAAAACTTCTAGAGCAGCAACATTCCTTTAGTACAAAAATCTAAGGATTCCAAATACAAATGATTGGTAGGCTAGTAGGTGCCAACCTAGTTGGGCGCGGCTCTCACCTCCATGAAATCTACATACTCATTGGGCCATATAGACCATACAAACCTCTCATCAACACCAATTTTTTTATTTTTTTTTTTATTTTTGTAACAAAACCATATCAACCTGTTTCACCCTAAGCAAACCTCTCATCAACACCAATTTTTTATTTTTATTTTTGTAACAAAACCATATCAACCTGTTTCACCCTAAGCAATTCCTTTATTCTTCTTCTTTTTCCAATCCTTTCTAACCCTCTTACATTCCATGACAAGATCTTCATTAACACTACATCATTCTCCTACAAACTCCCAAGAAGTGCTGAGTTAAGCACCACCCTCAATCTTCTTGGCCACAAGCCTTGCCATATCATCTTCCTCCATCTGGACTATTTTTCCCAACACTACACCTTCTTTACCTCCCATCATGACCCCTAGTTGAATCGTCGCCTGTGCTTCTTCCATGATTTTCATCTGACGTCCTGAGTTGTTACTGAGAGATAGCGATGTTGAAATTGCAGCCACAATATCCCTAAATAGAGCCCCTCTCTGGAAACCTCCTTTGAAATGTACCCCTCTTCTTCCTTTCCTTCTTCTGGGTTTTGGTTCCTTGGTCTTGGATATATTCCATAGCTAAACATGACCCTCTTCAAAACCCCAATTTCATCTGGGCTATGCCGTGCCTGCCTAGTATGGGCCAAGAGCCGAACACACCTCTAAATGGGCTAATTCCCTTGGCTCACGTAACTGCCCACGTAATGTCTCCATCTGGACTGATTAAAATCACGAACCTCCTTAACACTAGATGGCCTAATACCTCCATCAACCAAACAAGCTTGATCCAAAACCACTCCCAAATTAATCCCAGGCCTATTTACCTCATTTCCACTTAGACTTTTTAAAGGCCCACCCAAATTCATCAGATGGTCATCCCTTCGACTTCCACCCACCTCTGACCTCTGTTCTAAACCACCTTGCATTCCTTCCTTGGGCCCAGAGCTCAACAGTGATAATGCCTCATTTGTTCTTCGAGCTTCCGACTCACCTCCTGTTGCATTAACCACAGAGACATAAGATACAGACCCGATGAACCCCTCACCTACCTTTACGTTGCCAGTTTTAATCCCTATATGAAATGCCACCTCATCTTAACTATCTACCTCAGCCTCTGTACCTGCCACCTCATCACCTTCTTCCTTGTGTCCATGGCAATTTGCCGAGCTCTGATCCACCTGGTTCTTGATTCCCAGGGAACCACATCCACTTTGTTTCTTCTTACAGATACAGTTATCCTCTTGAGCTTCATCTTCATGGAAAAGAGCTTCAACTACTCTAATTGGATAAATGGTACCCTTGCATTCCATAGTCACCATTTTATCAATGCGGTCAGTTTGAGACGTGAGGATTCTAATCTTACCACATTTCAACGACTCCAACTGAGAAGTATTTTTGTCAATTTCCACTATTTCCCCCCATAATTCCCCAATCATTTGGAAATTCTTGTTATTCCATAGGTTAGGCGGTACACCATAACAATACAACCATATTAGACGAACAATACAACCATATTAGACGTTCATTCTTCAATGACAACCCCTTGTCCCAGTTAGTAACTGACTCACACCAATCACATAGCCACTCTCTCATGACATCCAACTTTGTCTTTAACTTGTCAGCTGAAGCAACTGATAGATACGCCATTCTCCCCCCCCTCCTTCTACAACCTTAATGTCATTCAGACCTCTGTTACAGAATTCTCCTTTAAAATCTGCAAATTTACATGAAGCCTTCAGATTCACTACCACACTATTGTATAACCATCTAATCCCCAACTCCTCTGCCTGTACTCTAAAATCGTTGCCTCCAACTGCCTTCGGACCTTTTACCGCATTAGCATAGGATATTTTCTTTAATCTTTCAGTATTTCCACCCTTCCCACCATCATACGGCCTTTGCTGCAGTATCTCTTTCTGCCCAAGAGTTTTCTTCTTTCCGAAAGCCCTTTTTACCTTCAGAACTTTATCCCCGCACCACGCTTCATTCTCTTTTTGAACAGCAATCTTTGCTGCTACCGGGCAGCTATACCTGACAAAACCAAACCTTGTCCTTGTTGCTTTCCTTCTTTTGTTCGGGATGAAAACATCTTTGACAATCCCAAAGTTGGTAAACAGAGTATACAACCCTTTTGGATTCATAAACTTGGGAATCTCATCAACAAATACTGTGAACACGTTTGAAGATTCTCCAAACCTTCCTAGTCTTCTCCTAAACACAGGCTACCATCCACCTTGTGACGACCTCCCATCTCGATTCTTCGTCATTCTCTATTAGTTACAACCCTTCTTTTTCGTGACTTCCCCACTGTATCTCCTTGCATGTCCAAACCCTAAGTTCCACAGGTTGCAAATAGAACTTGCACAAGTCTTTTTCATTTAACTATCCTTACTTGAATCTTGATGTTCACTTCAAGACTTACAGCTACATTTTCTAAATGATGTTGTACTGAACACATATTATCTTGATTGGTTGGAAAGAAAGTTAGGGGGGGATAATTTAGACCTCGTTTGGCAAGTGTCCCTTTTAGTTAAAAAGTCAAAAAGTTATTAAAAAAATCAATTTTAGTTAAAAAATCAAAAAGTTATTAAAAAAATCAAAATG